AGGGACCAGGAGAGAGACTGCCAGTGCCTTCTATCAGCTGAAGCTTGGCCATGGATACAACAAGGCCTACTTGTTCAGAATTGGCAAGACTGACCACCCCTTCTGCAGCTGTGGAGCCAAGCAGACTCCTGAGCACCTGCTCCTGAGCTGCAAGTGGCTGAACACAGACCGGAAAATCCTGCAGGACAGTCTTGGTAAGGTACAGCTGACTCTCCCTCTCCTCCTGCACACCAAGCAAGGCATCAAGGCCACCTTGGACTTTATCAGCAGGACCAGGGTTGGCACAAGGAGGTGGCATCTTGGGCAGTCATCAGAAGACCAGGCATAGTGTTGCCATAACATCTGCTCTTTCCTTTGTTTGTTTTTTGTGTACTTCTTTTGTTTCCAGCATCTTTGCTCTGGGCCTGAGCCCTCACCATCCCTTGTACCTCCATTGACTTCACTCTCATGTAACTAAATCTTTGCATTACCAGAGGAGCTACTGCTCCTCTCGTCTTCCATAGTCTTAGACTCAGATAGGATGTTAAACCAATCAATCAATCAATCAATCAATCAGGGCCTGGGGGAGGCCTGGGAGGGTCAAATGGTGGTGTTGCAGGCTGTTTGCAGAAGATCTGACCGGAAAATTCTGCAATTGAGGGGCAGAACAGCCAGCAGGACTGCACCTGGGCTGCACTCCACAACCAGAAGGCTGGAGGGTCTGAAAATGGAGGAAATGGCTCTTGGCAGTGTGCTGAGATGGATTCTGATGGATTTGGGATGCCAGGAGGCCTGGGGAACAATAGAGATGTCGACCAGAAGTTGGTGTTGACTGGCTGATTACATGGTGAACACTGAAGAAGAATATCAACCTCTTCTACCCAGTCACCTTTTCAAGACTATTGCAGCCACCAATACTACCTTGCAACCAGAGCATTTTTCTTCGGCACTCTCTTTGTCAAACAACCTGCAAGAAGACCTCATCAAAGCTTATGCAAAGGACCCTTTTTGCAAGACAGCTCTGGATACTCTACTCCCTCTGGAAGACACTGCCACCAAACCTGACAACTTGAAGCATTACACAGCTTCTTCTGGACTCCTGTTTTTCAAAGATAAGATTCATGTCCCTAGAGACAAGTCTATCCAGCAGGCACTCCTTCAGTACTACCATGACCATCCTATGTCTGGACATTTTGGTTTTGACAAAACCTTTGAACTCATCACTAGGAGTTTCTTCTGGCCTAACTTGAGGACAATCCTGCAAGACTACATCTCTGCTTGTCCTTCCTGTTGTCAGAACAAGCCTTCTAGACACCTACCTTATGGCAAACTCCAACCTCTTCCCATCCCAGACAGACCCTGGCAGTCTATCTCTTTGGACTACATTGTCAAACTTCCTCCTAGCATGGATGTCTTCTCTTTAGAGCCTTTGGACACTATTCTAGTAGTAGTGGACAGATTCTCTAAGATGGCTCACTTCATCCCTTGCAAGGACAGACCAACACGGTCGACATCTCTATTGTTCCCCAGGCCTCCTGGCATCCCAAATCCATCAGAATCCATCTCAGCACACTCCCAAGAGCCATTCCCTCCATTTTCAGACCCTCCAGCCTTCTGGTTGTGGAGTGCAGCCCAGGTGCAGTCCTGCTGGCTGTTCTGCCCCTCAATTGCAGAATTTTCCGGTCAGATCCTCTGCAAACAGCCTGCAACACCACCATTTGGCCCTCCCAGGCCTCCCCCAGGCCCTGCACCATCAATATTTCATCAGCATCCATCT